AAATTCTTAAGATTTTTTTTTTTGTGATTAATGTGTTTACACATTTTCACTGGTTTGTTTCTTTAACCCAAGAAATTTTGGTTTTGCTTTTAGGAAAGAGAGTTAGATGTGTTGACCCCACCAGAAGTCATTGATTCTCCAAAACCCGTAAATACCTTGTCAGCCAAGACAGCCCGTCTAAACTGCTCAGTAACGGGTCATCCAACTCCCCGCGTCATATGGTACAAAAATGGGCGGCCTGTCGTCATTAAAGGACGCATTGTTCAATCAGAAACCAACCAGCTCCTCTTCTACAATTCAATAACTGCTGACAAAGGAATGTATCAGTGCCTCGCTATCAACGATGCGGGATATGCGTAAGTGTTGCTTGATTTTATCTTGCTGTTGGGGTACTCAAGTAGCTGAATTGTTGAAAAAGTATGGATGTAGAAACTTGTATTTATATGAATGGGCTTCAGGTCTTGCATACTGACTAAAGTGGTACTATTTCATAATAGATTTTTTTATATCTATTGTAGGTAAAGGTAATTTTAATATTTGTAAAAGAAGTTCAAAATGGCAATATTTTGTAGCTATCTGTATAATGTTGACTTTGACCCTCAGCTCAAGCTGGGCCCTCGTGGTAATCAACTCGTCCAAGAACCAACCAGAACCACCCCAGAACTTAAATTATGTAGTTCTTTCGTCTACCTCGGTTCTCCTGACATGGGATGCAGTCCACCCAGTCAACGGCGAGCTCAAAGCTTACTCAGTACATTATGTTGAATCTGGTAATTCTCTTTACCTTATTTGTTGTTGGTATAGCTACAGCATATCATCATCATTATATTATTCCCAAATATTTTTAATATCTGTTGATGACATTTATGTACTCCTGTGTATTTGCTCCCTCAGAATAGATATGTCTCTCTCCTATTACAGAGGGGAGTGCGATGGAGAGGCAGGAAGTTTCATTAAATACATCACTTCTTCTAGAAGGTCTCAAGCCCAACACAAATTATACAGCCTTTGTTAGAGCCTACAGCAACTTTCCTTCAGAAATCTCAGAAAGTCTGGTGTTCCGCACAGCGGAGGATGGTGAGTTGGCAACGGTTTTTATTCATGGAATTCCTTCCAGGAGTAATTTGTTATCAGTCACATAAGGAGGGATGATGAAATTTATGCTATTTACGGTTCTGTTTTAGCCTCACCAGCAATCACAATCATTACTATTGTTGTTGTTATTATTATTAATTTCACTATTTTTAATATTTTCATTATGGGTATAATTGTATGTATGATAATAATGATAATGATAGATGTAATAACAGATAATGCTAATGATGATAATAGTGATATAATAATTAATAATTAATAATAATTACCACTAATAATAAAAAATAATGTTAATAAAGAAAAAGATCTTATGATTTCAAAGAATTCAAGAGTAGATAGGTCAAATTGGTATAGTAAGTGACTCCTAGGGGACTAAGTACCTGTGAAGCTGTTTGTAAAAAAGCAATTTTAACCCATTCCCGACAGGCATGCCATGCCATGCCCACTGTGAGATTACTTGTTTGATTGTTTTCACACATAGATGGCTACACTTGTACTAAATCACCAATGAGCCAGTTACGAGTACCGCCTGTCTCCTGTCTCGCCCGTTCACCCTTTTCTTTGATTTGCAAAATATTTTACGTTATCTTATTTTGCTGTTACTAATGTTAAAAAACATTATAATAATTATAATGTTTATAATAAAAATAACACCATCGATATTCATGGCACTAGTGAAAAATATGCTTTTCCTGCCATTTCAAATCAGGCACTAACAGAGCCATCTATGGGCAAACATTAAAAAAAAATAAAATTAGAAAATAGGCACAGCATTTCCCCCTTTTTTTCTTTTTTCTTTTTTTTTTCCTTCTTCTTCTTCTTCTTCTTCTTCTTCTTCTTCTTCTTCTTCTTCTTCATATTGCCAAATACATATTGACAATGAGATACACTGTGTGATTTAAGATATATTTTCAATAATAGTCATAAAAAAGTATGTACATACATGGGTTTTTGATCATGTTATCAGGTCTCATAAGTTATCTTAGAATTCACAAATACTACAAAAATATACAGCCTAACACTAAAAAAATTGGGGTCTGTCACATGGTAACTTGATACTCATTTGCCAAGGCCAATTGTTCTTTCCTATGTATATCACACAGTATAGATATGTATATGTGCCCTAAACATGGAATAATCAGTTGTACCCAACAATATCCAAGTGAGGCCCTACTCAGGGCAATTGTCTCTATGTATATCACACAGTATAGATATGTATATGTGCCCTAAACATGGAATAATCAGTTGTACCCAACAATATCCAAGTGAGGCCCTACTTTGGTCATGACACAGGGAGTGAAGTCAAAGTTAAGTTGGAATACACATGCATCTCCATTCATGACCAAACCAATATTCCTGTACACCTATTACTCCCTATACTTACCATGATTATACTAACAGTTACAGTCTTTCGTTTCTTGCCTGTACTCTTTCATGTTTACAAATATTTGATGTGAGTTACAGTACAGTATGTATATGCAGATTTCATGTAATCACTGGGATCTCAGAACATAACATCCATGTAAAGCACGAATTTTGTGTACAGAGTTACATTATAATTTAAAGATCTGAATAAAAATAACTGCATCAGTTACTTTTTAGAATATACTGTCTAAGGTTTTTTTTATAACCCAGTTGGTAGAAATAACATTCCACTTGTACTGTGTATAATGATATTAATTCAGACCTAGCATTGATATCATATGTATATTGAAAAATGGCAGTTATGTTGACTTGAATTGATACAGACAGAAAGGGAAGTTACACATTTGTATGTGTGTGTTTACTTTTTTCTCTCTTCATAGGAATTTTTCATAATTGACAAAATTGTTTTTCTGTCCTGCAGTCCCTACTGATGTCCCAGTTGTGCAGCTGGTTCCTCTGTCGCCCACAACTCTCTTGGTCAAGTGGAGCCCATTGGCACCAGAGCAAGCTCGAGGCACTATCCATGGATACAAAATTCTGTGGAGAAAACGAAACCATCACTACTACCATGTCCAAGAGGTTTGAAATTTCTTGAGTTAAAAGTTGACAATAGAATATGAATTAGCTGGATATTTCTTATACAGGATTTTTGGTATTCTTGATACAGCAATAGTCTTGGAGGCAGGTGTAAAAGCTCTCCCACTGTGAGGATAAAATATTTTATCAATAATATTGCTTCCCAAAACAGATAGACTGCAAAGTCTTAAGTGGCTGCATATACTACTTTAAGAAAATTTGAAGTCAGTGTTCTGTTTTATATTATCAGTGTTAGTATTTATCATATTTATTTTAGTTGGGCATCTAGGAACATTCTTCTTGTGTGACATCCAGGTATAAGAAAACCACACATAATTAGCCAATACATGGTTGAGATATATTTATGTATTTAAAATCTGATTAATTGTGCAGTTGCATGTTATCATCTTTACACACATAATAGCAATCCATTTTGGTTATGACAAGCCTACCCTAATCTAATTGGATATCCTTCCTCACACCAACCACGAGCCTGCTTATGGGCACAACCAGTGACTGATCCTCTGAATAGAATAGCATATTTGAAACCTGCTGAGCCATGTAGTAACATTTAGTTAATATAATTGCTCATATATATTCCAGGTTTTGGCAGATGTGCACGAGTTTCAGATCACCGACTTGCATCCAGGAAAGAAATATGAAGTGCAAGTGCTGGCAGCAACAAAGGCTGGATATCCAACCAAGAGTGGCTGGCCCTGGATACAACAGAAGATGGGTGAACCAACCCAGGATGTACCATTTCCCCCTGAGGTCACACTGAAGGTGCTCAATGATACTAGCAGTGATTCAGCAGGAAGGCTGGCAATTAAGGTATGGAAAATGCAAGGGTGTTGGTAGTGACATTAAGAGTACAGCAATTAATTGATTTTGTTTTGATATTATCTCTCAAATATTGCAGGTGGACTGGGAAGTTTCATCAGAAAACAAAGTAGAAATTGAAGGTTTCTGGTTGAAATACAAACGGCAGGATCAGACGTGGAATGAACCCATCACTTTCCCACCAACACAGAAATCATATACCATAACTGGCTTAGGTGAGTAAAAACTTGCTGAAGCATGGGATTCAGTGTGATATATGTCACAGTTTGTAATAAATATATGTTTTATCTGTAAATAAAAATTACATGTAAAAGATTATATACTTACACAAACATACATTTTTATGCTACCCTGCAAATATCTTGCATTTTTGTGTAGCTATAATCCACTTAGATTACAGTAATATAAAATGGCATCATCTTGTTCTAAACTAATAAGGTTCCAATGACTTTACAAAGTACAACTTTGTGAATTTGAGTCACAAAACACAGAAGTGACCAAAATCAGAATAATTCTATAGTTCATCCTGTAAATAATTTGATATTCAAGCCTAGCACTTCACACTCGCATGTCTTGCGGATGTACAGCAAGATATATTATTGAACCTCCTCTATACTGTTTTGGTTTGATATGTCAAACAAATCAAGTTATCAACAAGATCCTAAAGCTGTTTTCAGTTGATGGAAAATCAAAGCAGTTCCACATGGTACACTGTTATTAGAGATAGCCACAGCTTTTAATATTCAAGTAAGTCAGTGAACAATATATCTGTATGATAATAGATTTTAATTTCTAAGCCAGATTCACCAAAGTTCCTGGATTGCAGAAATGTTACTGATTTGAACTAGACCTACCAGATTACTGAAATATGTTTGTTATGCCACAAACTTGTAAGCAGTAAACACTGTTATCCCTTCTCTACAACTGAAGTAATTTATAGAAATCTATATTTTTGGACTCTTTGGGTAGCTAAGAGAGTAATGGAAGGTAGGAAAATATTTTAATGGCATTCTATTTCCATTTCTTAATTGTCTACCCTTACAAAATGACTTGGAAATTGTGTATAAGCAAGAAATGCCCTTCACACCACTAGTTCAAATCCTTTGTGCCAAAAATATGGCCGGTCTTTTTTACAACTTTAATAAATCTAAAGGAAAAGTTGACTTATCTCTTATTTGTCTTTCTACTTTATATATCGGGTTTTAAAATTTGGCTTGGATTTCGTATTTTTCGTATTTTATAACTAGAGCCATGAAATTAGGAAAGATTCACTGGCCTAGAAAAGTTTCCACAAAATGTAAACAGTGTCTTATTTCTCATAATCTAAAGAAAATGATATTTAAGGCTACGTAGGTCTGACAGCGTGGGTTTGGAGTTTGCAATGATCCTCATACTAAAAAAAATCAGAAAGTGTAGAATAAGATTAATAGGAGTCAATGCAACTGCCACATCCATTAAGGACAAAGAAGGAATTCTGAAAAAGATTGTGATTTTATTTCACTTGAGAAGAAAAAGAGCACAGAAAGGAGGAAAATCTTAGTTTGTGTTCAGAAATTGCAAAAATAAATATATATAAAGACACAGTACTGATGAAAGAAAAATGTTATTTAAAGTATAGATTATTGTCTTGGTGATTTTTATTATGTGTATAATTCATTTACTGTTAATGGAGCTCCTGTAATTGTCAGATATTTATTATGGTTTTATACAAAGCAAGAAAAGTAAAAGCATTGGCAAGTAACTGATTATATTGTATGATATTTCTGGGGTTTGGTGTATGTGTCATCCACGATAGATGTGTCAGTAGTGATGCCTAGTGAAAAAATCATCTGTTTAGATCTGTTAAATTTGCTGAGGCAAGCTCTGATACATTGCCCTAGCTGAAGTGTCTAAGAGAAAAGGTACTGTAAGGTATTGGCGAACAAAGCAACAGACAACCTTTAAGTTCCAACTGTACATAGTCTACACTTTCAACAGATTATACTGGATGTATCACCTAACAGTTATATTACCAATCATTCAATTGTATGTCCTGTGAAATTTAGTGATTGTTTTCCACTTGCAGAAGCTGATTGGTATGAAGTCCAGGTGAAGGCTGTTAGTGCCAATGGTGATGGTGAGCCGACTGTGAATGTGATTCACACTCGCCTCCCAAACCAAAGCACACAGTTTGCAAACACTACTTCCAGTATTGATAGGGTAAGTATGTTTCCTTTGTAAGTGGAAATCTATGGTAGGCCAGTAGGTAATAGGGATATTCACCTGAAGGATGATGGCGTATGAGATTTAGTTGCATTACTGTGGAGGACTTAATCATTATGATTATTAAGATAAAGAAATGAATTTAATGCTTAACATTTTTCTTGGTATGTTTATTATTATTATTATTATTATTATTATTATTATTATTATTGTTGTTGTTATATGTATGTTTTATGGTATGGTACCAGCTAAGCTTGAACTTAAATCACTAATTACTTGTTTTTGTTATTAATATATGAATTATGACTTGAGCCAAACAGCAGACAGGTAATATTTATTTGAGCATATTGTTATTAACCTGATGCTGATGGGGCATGTGTATCATTGTCATAACAAACCGTTTGGTCTGTGGGGTAAGCCTGTATGCACAGCGACGCACCAGAGCGCTTGAAATGGGACATTCAGCTTGATGTGGCGGACTCCTGTGCCCAGTGTCTGGGTTTTGAAATCTCCAAAGTTTAAAATTCTTGGGGATGGTTTTGACCCATCAGCATTGGGTTAAGCTTATGCACCCTTTTTTTTTTTTTTTTTTTTTAAATACTTGAAAGTCCAAAAAAATGTCCTATTTTAACATTAGAGCAGTAACCAGTAATTAACCAGTGGAGTATAAAACATAGCTTAGGCTTTGCTTTTTTTCTCTTGATTTTCATCCTCTTCCTCTTCCCCCTCCTCTTCCAAATTCTTATCCTTGTGTTTCTTAATCTCAACATATTCTTGTTTTTTTTCTTATTCTTATTGTGTTGTTCTGTTTTATCTTGTTTTTTTTGTAAACATAAATGGCTCTAAAAGCACTTAGTCACCAGTCATTTAATCAATTACTAGGCCTACCTTATCTCTCTTCTGCTCCGATTCTTGAATGTTTAGGAATAAAAGTTTTCATTTTATTACTATTACTATTATAATATTATAATAATCATGATGATGTTGGTAATGGCCATGATAATGATAGAAATAACACCTTTTTCCTCAAATATTTAAAAAGTGAGGTAATTAGGTAAAAAGAGGTATGCCTATTCATTGACTCCTTGGTGTCTAAGCATTTGCAAAGCCATCTGTGTGTAAACAAGATTAATAAAACAGAACTACTGTGGACAGTTCAAGTACCCAGTACCATTGATAAAGGAAAAAAGTTTCAAAACACAATAAGTTATGCTGAAGATTACAGCTAACTTAGTTTGGATCTCTTTTCTTTTCTCAACATTTTCACAATTTCCATAACAAAAAAAAATATTACAAAAATGCGTCTTTCAGCTGGAGGCAGATTCTCGGTCTCAGACAAGCGTTCACTTGTCCTGGCGGGTA